AAATATGGATTTCATCGACGATTTTCCGTTAACATGATCGCCTTTCCAAGTTTCTGACACGATTTTAATCCCTGTTTTCTAACAGAAGGAATTTATTTCCTATTTTGATCATTTCGACAAATGTCAAATGACACTAATGTCAGTAACAAGGCTACTGGGTGATTCTTAGCAGTTTCCGGATGGATGATAAATTCGCGAACCAAGTTTTCTTCATTGCAGGAGAAATGAGAAACATAGTCGACGGAAAAATTTTGTAACCAACTTGTATATTAAATGGCGATTAATGATCTCGAACATTAACGCACTCGCTACGCTCGCACGTTAAAATATCTCGATCATTAATCGTCCTCATTAATACACTTGTTGGTTAAATAACTATTAATATCTCCTAAATGCATAGGGTGTTCTTTATTTTAAAATATGGAAGTTGATAATAATTTCGGGAAAACAGAAAACGTGGCAACATTGGAGATATGATCTTTCGAGCCGTCATATTACCAAATCACCATGCATAAAAATTAAGAAAGATCTGACGACTGGTTACTGACATATATGGATGGTTCCATTCATTTGACTACCTCTGTATATATATTATGTAATGCATGATTATAAAATTGCATTATGCTCAAAATAAACTAGTAGTTAATGTTAATACACAGAAAACTGAAATTATAACTTTTGCTAGGGTAGGCCACTACAAGTCATATCAAACGAAATTGCATTACAACGGCGAGCCACTTGAAGTGGTAAACAAATATTCTACCTAGGAATTGAATATTCGTCATTAGCCCTTTTTCTGGAGATGTCCAAATTCGCATCAGCAAAAGCAAACCAAGCTATTGGATCGGTTATGAATTTGATGTGTCAATCAAAGATGACCAGCTGGGATTCGCGAATAAAATTATACGACTCTATACAGAGTGTTTCACAGGTAAAGGGAAATATTTCAATGGTAGATAGGGGTCACCAAGGTGGTTCTGAAAATACCATATTTGATAGGTCTTAGAGTCTTCATAACGGAGATACAGGGCGATTTATCGATTTCGAATAATTATTCATTCGTCTATATGTATTGACCTACCCAGTATATTTTCCTTAAAATTGGTAAGGAACTCATACTTGGGACGTTTAATTCATTCACCTATCGGGCGGAGTGAAAATCCAGGTTTGGCTTCAGAAAATATTCACATCTATTCGAAATATTAAAATAACACACTGTATTTAATAATTAACACAGTACATCAAAAGAATTGTGAAGAGGAGGAAAAACTGAATTGGGTTTGATGCTATTTGTGTTCCCGCCACCAATTCTCATCGTAACAATCATAAACAGAAAGTTGAAAGTATATGTCAATTTGAAGAGTATTGAAATTATGAAACCAGTGTCAATTATGATTATTCGATATTTTAGTCAAAAAATCGCTCGAAAGAACTTACTAAGTCTCACAGTCTCTTCAACGAAGATACAGGGTGAATTATCGGTTTTGAATAATTATTCACTCGTCCATGAGTATTAAACCTGCTGAACCTGTATTTACATTCTGCCTGATAAGTCAATGAATCGAGAAAATATTTCTGCCATGGGTAGTTTAATACTTATGGACGAGTGAATAATTATTCGAAACCGATAATTCACCCTGTATCTCTGTCATATAGACTGTGAGACTTAGTAAGTTCTTTCGAACGATCATTCAACAAGAATATATCATATAATCATAATTAAAAGTGGTTTCATAATTTTAATACTCTTCAAATTGACATACTTTTAGCTTTCTGTTTATGATTGTTACAATGAGAATCGGTGGCAGGAGAACAAAAAGCATCAAATCTAGTTCAGTTTTTCCTCCTCTTCACGATTCCTTCGATGAACTCTGTCAATTATTACATACAGTGTGTTATTTTGATATTTCGAATAAATGTAAATTTTTCCTGAAGCCGAACATGGATTCTCACTTCGCCTGATAGGTGAATGAATTCAACGTCCCAAGTATATGCTCCATACCAAATTTTAGAAAAATATACTGGGTAGTTCAATACTTATAGATGAATGAATAATTATTCGAAATCGATAAATCGCCCTGTATCTCCGTTATGAAGACTCTAAGACCTATCAGATATGGTATTTTCAGAACCACCTTGGTGACCCCTATGTACTATTGAAATTTTCCCCTTTATCTGTGAAACACCCTGTATATAATACTGTCGGCCTCTGGGGATTACGGTACGAACGCACCCAGGTTCGTTTATTCGAAAGATTGTTTTGTCTAGCCAAAACACCCCAGACTATGTAGTTCGTCTTGAAGCTTCTGTCGTTAACCTCAGTCTCAAAATTATGCAAATAGACATCTTCTTGATAAACCATATATAAACGTAAAATAGCACCAGACTACCAAAAATTTTCTTCCAAAGGCTTGTTTTCAATGGCTCATAACTCTGGATAACGTTGATCCAAAATATAACTGGTTTCTGCAGGTCAAAGATCATTTTGTAAAGGCATCAGGGCAAGCAGACAAATGGCAGGCTTGAATAGATATTAATAGCTTTCAAAAGCAAACTCCTAAGTAAGGACTCACAGAGATTGAGTCTATCCACATATCCCTTATTTTCCAAAGTCTGTCGCCACGAATAAATACACAGAACTATCTAACCGCTTCGCTTCCAATACATGCAATGAGAATTTTAGCACAGCTGAGAACATGCAGCAAGAAATATCTGAAATTTACGTTCAATGGTTCAAATCACTCCATCAACACTGAATGACTATGCACAATATGCAACATAAAAAGAATGGAGTCTCTATATCACATTCTATTCGAGTGTCCTATATACGAAGGTATACGAGCGTCAAACATATTTCTGAAGATGAGAAACCTGAACGACTTGACATATGCCCTGAATTATGGTCCACTAACATCTCTTAAGCAATTGGTTCGTGTGATAATGAACACACTTAGGTTGAGATCATTCATAATCAACGAATAGGGCTAGAGAGTCCGTGATAATTGCTCAATAGTTGTCTTGCCTAATAGCTTATTAGGTTCGTTCACATTCTGCTATATTTTTTCTCATCGTTCTTTTTCACTCATTCAATCATATCTTTAAGTCAATGTATTATCACTTTCAATATATTACCAATTTCGATGTATTACCACTTGTAATGTATCACCACTTTCAATGTATTATCACTGTTTCTACTCCATATCAACAATTTGTTGAAAGCAACTTCATGTCCAGTACACAGTTTCGCGGATGATAGTACCCTCCATACCGCCTTCTCTTCCAAAGCTCCAATATCAGCCAGGCAAATCAGAAACGAACGAGGGAGAAAATATGTTGACAACATCAATATGGACTTGGCAACAATTCTCGAATGAGGATCCAATAACTTGGTAGATTTCAATGCAAACAAAACACAAGCATACCTATTCTCTAGAAAAGCCGATCTCACTGTGCCCAACATAAGCTTGTCAGGAGTAATAATACCTTTGAAGACATCCATTTCGATGCTTGAGATTACTATCAGCAAATCAGCAATAACCATTCTTGGGAAAATCACGTGAGATCAATTGCTGAAAGTGCATCCCAAAAACTTGGTTTTCTGTTTCGGGCCAGGAGCTATTTCACTTCCAGTCAGCTGCTTATGATCTATAAGTCACAGATCCTGGCATACTGTTCCTGTCCTGGAATACTGTTCCCATATTTGGAGTGCAGCGCCCAAACATACCCTTAAAAGGTTGGATTATGTCCAAAAAATGGCAATTCATCTCGTGGGTGATGCCTCGCTCACAAACTCACTCACTTCCCTGGAACACCGTAGAAAAGTTGGCGATATGGCTGTATTATATAGATTTTTTCATGGACGATGCTCTTCTGAAGTATCAACAATTGTTCCTTGGGAGTCCCCGCGAGATCAACTCGTCGAGTTGAGGCTTCGCACCCCTTTGTGGTCACTTTGGAGACCTGTAGAACATCTCTTTCCTAAGACTCGTTCATCCAACGAACAGCGAGGCTCTGGAACACATTGCCAAGGGAGGTGTTCCCCGAGGCATATAACCTCCAGAAATTCAAGAAGAACACCAATTCCTACCTTATTTCCCTTGGTTATCACGATGTTCTCTGGACATTACAGGATATCCTTTTTCGTGGGAACCAGAACATAAAAATAAATTCTCAATTTATTACCACTTTCAATGTTTCACCACTTGTTTTACCACTTTCAATGTACTTGCGTCTTCGCATTGTGCCTTGTGTGTAATAAATCATAATATCACACCACCTCTGTCAAATAGGCTCAAGCTCAACCCTTGTAATGGGACTTGTAATTCTTCTCGTATATACCTAGTATTTATATATATAAATCATTTTATCAGGCTCACACATTCCTCATGATAGTTCCTTGGTGAGTTTTCATAGTTCAATGTCAACGGATGATTGCCTTCATGTTTATAAAATCCTCAAGGTTCGAAATTACTAATATACCGTATGTTCTACTTCCAGACAATATACAATTAAGACCGTTATTATGGCCATATCCCAGCAACTCGGAGTATCGTCTATTCGCCTGATACCATTGCCATCAATTCCGGCGTTCCACAAGGATCAATTTTGACACCAACATTGTTCCCACTTCATATCAATGATCTGGTGGGAGCAACCACTTCACAGCCAAAGCTTTGCAGACGATAGTACCATAGACTACAGAAGACAAACTATTCATTTCTTCCCAGGAAACTAAAAACTATAAAAGTGCACGTTGTCATAGATCAAATTCGTCTGTCAAATGATCTATCTAACCGTTTGATAGTATATAGAGGGGGCAATATTGTTGTTGGATCTCCCTGTATTTTATATCTTATCTTGACATCATCCCGCCGTTTCACACATTCCAACAGACAAGCTTCTCTTCTAAGTCAACACAATTACAACAAACATGTTTTGAATGATGTGTAAACAATACGATGATAGTATATTCTTAGGGATATTCTTCAGTTGGTGTTTCGGCTCGGTCCAGTTCATGTGACTGATAATATATAGTTTTGTCGCGACTTCTTATCGAAGTCACCAAAATACTAGGGAAAAAAGTGCGGTTTCAATTTCTGATTAGAAAAATAAATATAAGTTCGCGTTTGGAGTGCTGAATATGTGATACCTTTATAATAAGGTCGGTATATGCAATTGGACATACATTTTTTTAAGTGGAAACACACGGTATAGTCTATCCAAAGTCAATTGAGGCATCTCTGGCACCGCGCGGCGACGTCGGGTTTGAAGTTCCTTTTGAAGTGAGTGCACGCATGCTTCAATTGACTTCGGATGAACTATTTCTTTAAAATAATCAAGTATGAGACTCCTCCTTACTTACATGAACATTTGACTTATAGAACGGACGTTCAGAATTTGAATCTGCGAAGGAAATTATTATTGAGTGTCCCAGCTCACAAAAAAGAAGTGGGTTGGAAAAATGGTTGTGTATACCCAGTAAAATAATCAATATTAATAAGTAAGGCTTGTCATTGTTTGAATAGTTCCGTGGGCACTGTCAGTTATCATTTCCATTTCATGTCAATTGTACTATGTCATTTAATCAAATTTTAATGTTTTATGTCCTTTCTTCCCGAAAATAGAGGAAACAACAGTTCATTATTGTGTCATTTAAACTTTTTGGATAAATCCAAAAACATCTTATGAAGTAACCAATGTTGTTCAATACATTTACATTGTTTTTTATGCTTATCTTCTGCAAGAATATATGACAAATGAGTTTTTGTTCTATTCAACGATTTTCTTCTGACATAATTGAATTATTTCTAACCTCACATTTTCAATATTGTACCTGTTTAAGAAAAATCCACTTTTCAAATACTCTCCTGATGATGGCCTGGTGCCGAAACCGTTCAATATTGTACCTGTTTAAGAAAAATCCACTTTTCAAATACTCTCCTGATGATGGCCTGGTGCCGAAACCGTTCGAGTTGCTATTAAATGATTAAATTGTATACTACAGCCTGAGTCTTACTCATTAATATTGATTATTAGAAAAGAAGTGTATGAGCGCTCGTTTTCTTATAATATTTCTGACACATTGAATTATATTAATATTCAGAATCCCAATTGGTTTGACCTATCGATCGACAATTTCAAATACAAATTCAAAAAACACTTATTCAATGCTCAACATGGCTCTGAATGACCCCTTATTGTTCATCAGCTTATCACTCACATGCATGCACTATTTCAATTATCTTTCTCTCTATATCTCTTTCTTCTCCCTTTCTCCTCCCTTTCTGGTGCTGTGTTGCCCTATTAGCTTCATGTTACAATTCACGGCTTTGGTGGAAGATCAGATGCGAATTATTCGCAATCTGAACCAAAAGCCCTTTGCTCACCATATATGTTAATAAAATGTTCAACACATGAAACGTAAAATCGCATTATTTTCAAATTTGAATCATCATAACTTTGGATTTCCCCAACCGCTTCTCAATTATTTTTCATACCTATGGATATGACTATTTCATCTTTTCCGGATGAGATTCTACAGGATGATAATCGAAGCTCTGCATTTTTCCAAAACTGGAACATTGTGACTGTGATGGAATTCAATATAAAAAATTCATGTTCTTTCTGGGTCAGGACATTACATATTAATGTGACTCACGTCTGCCATACTTTTGAATTTCGACGAATATTCAATATAAGTCATTCGTGAAGACGTTCACCGCAAATAAAATCACATCCTGATACTCGTTAATCAATTCTGTCAGTTGCATGTTATGTCTCGGCAGCAACTTTTTTTATTAAGTAGAGACATCCTGTATATTTCTTCAGTCCATCTCATTTGCCTTGTAATTATCTTCAAAAAATCTATCACAAAGTGAGAACGACGCTCTGGGAATCCGGTTTCTCTAACAATTCCAGTGGTTTGATCTTGTAATAGATTTTGTAGCAACTTGACATGGTGATGACAACTTCTCCTACACGCTTTGATCGCCAGAAAACTTCTTAATCGGTTTCCTGCTTCAAAATTCACTTGCTCTTCAAAACATTTTTTTTATTACTTGATGTCATAATTGTTGTTTGAGGACCACCCTGTATATAAGAATATGTTGATCATGCATCATTTCAAGATTTTTGACCACCATTCGAACCAGATTGACAGAAACACAAAGCCAATAGAGAATTAGAGCTTCAAATCATGCAATATCTTAATAAAACATTCATATTTCAGAAACGCGTGTGACGATTCCCAAAATGTTTTAACAGTATCGAGAAAACATTTGGAGCAATATGTTCTTGACCCCAAAAAATAATAGAAGAATTTTTCTTTCAAACGGGAGGCGTTTGAAATTTTTGGAAAAATGCACAGCTTTGATCATCATCCTGTAGAATCTCATCCGGAAAAGATGAAATAGTCATATATCCATGTTCGATAGTCAATGAAACGAGCTTCCAGAAACTGAAAAATGATTGAAAGGAAATCGAAACTTATGATGATTCGAATGCGATCGAAAAAATGCGATTTTACGTTTCATGTGTTGAGCAGTTTATATAATATACCACTGTATACTGAAATATGTGAAAACATATATGGTGTCCAATAAATGTATTATTATTATTATAATACTGACCCATTCGATTTCGGAAGGTGAGCTCATTCCTGATGGAAATAACTACTCAAAGGACTCTGATGAGTTACTTCAGTCCCATGCGGTATTTCTGTACACACTATTTGTGAATTTTCGGGGGTAATACCATCACACAAAAAACTAATTTCTTGTTTAAAGCATGACTGCATTGGTCCAAGGAAATAGTTTGTTAATGTATAACAAAAGAGATGACATTTTTTTTTCAAAACAATAATTTATTCAAAAAGTCTCTTGTAGGAAAATTGAGATATGCATGATTGGAAACGTTTGATATTTCGAAATGAAAATGGGATCGATTCATATTGAGAAAACCATTTCAGGAATACCATAATTTTGAGGTGTGAAACCCATTCCCTGATTGAAAATAATTGTTTTCTTGGTTTGGAACTATATGGATTACTGATATCGAGACATGTTCTCTTTCATTTCACAACGAACGATTTATTTTAGTGAAAATTTCATCAATTTTCAATGAACACAATAATATTCTCGATCTGAATTTATGAGTTTTTTATAATGAATATTCAGTTCATTCTCTTCAAAGGGACTATTTTTTGTATCAAAACATCGATTGCTTGTTGAAAATACAATAATGTTGTTGATTAAAACTACGAATGATTCCTAATGAGATAACTGAAGCCCAGAAAATTCGGGAAGGAATATATTTGATTCTTCAGTTGACAATGATCCCACATTATGTAGGTACATCTGGGATCACTCAAAATCGACCATTGTTTTGATATCTTTATCTTTTCTCGTATAATATAGCGGTTTTATTTTGTATTCTTCAGTTTATATCAGTATATTCCCGTCCAACTGGAAAATTGCAAGAGGACAACCAGTTCTTTGAAAAGGCAAAAATACCTTACCTAGATACTACAAACCGATCGCACTGCTATCTATTATTTCAAAGATCATGGAGAAAGCTATCAACATCGAGCTCATGAAATACCTGGAACATTCAGGTATTGTCAACGATAGGCAATATGGCTTCCGTCATCAGAAATCAACTGGTGACCTGCTAGCTTACGTCTCACATATATGGCAGCAATCTATTGAAAAATATGGTGTAACCACGGCCACGGCACTTTATATCTCCAAGGCATTTGATCGAGTCTAGCTCCACGGACTCCTCGCCAAGCTTCTATCTTATGGCTTGCCTCCCCAGCTATGTTCTCTGCTAGCTAGTTTTCTCTCAAACAGGTCTCTCCATGTAGTGGCCGATGATGTTTCATCTGACTCTCTTATCATAAATGCTGGTGTGCCGCCAGGATCAATTCGATCACCAACACTATTTCTACTTTATATCAACGATTTGTTGAAAGCAACTTCATGTCCAGTACACAGCTTCGCGGATGATAGTACCCTCTATACCGCCTTCTCTTCCAGGGCTCCAATACCAGCCAGGCAAATGAGAAACGAACGAGGGAGAAATGTTGACAACATAAATATGGACTTGGCAACAATTCTCGAATGGGGAACCAATAACTTGGTAGTTTCAATGCGAACAAATCACGTGAGATCAATTGCTAAAAGTGCATCCCAAAAATTTGGTTTTCTGTTTATGATCTATAAGGCACTGATTCGACCTGTCCTGGAATACAGTTCTCATATTTGGAGTGCAGCACCCAAACATACCCTGAAACTGTTGGATTCTGCCCAAAAATAGGCAATTGGTCTCGTGGGTGATGCCTCGCTCACAAACTCACTCAATTCTCTGGAACACCGTTGAAAAGTTGGTGATCTGGCTATATTTTATAGATATTTTTATGGACGATGCTCTGCTGAAATATCAACAATTGCTCTTCCCTTGGCAGTCCCCGCGAGATTAGCCCGTCGAGTTGAGGCTTCGCACCCCTTCGTGGTCACTTTGAAGACCTGCAGAACATCTCTTTCCAAAGACTCGTTCATCCAACGAACAGCGAGGCTCTGGAACACATTGCCAAGGGAGGTGTTCCCCGAGGCATATAACCTCCTGAAATTTAAGAAGAACACCAATTCCTACCTCATTTTCCTTGGTTCTCACGATGTTCTCTGAACATTACAGGATATCATTTTCGTGGGAACCAGAACATAAAAAAAAGTATATATCAGCCTATCACGACTCCAAATGGTTTCGTTCTCTTGAAGTTTTGCTGAAAATGATAACGGTTACGAACAATGACATAAGTATTATAATTTTTTTAGAATCTATATACCTCTATAATATGTAATATCATCCCCGAGGCATATAACCTCCAGAAATTTAAGAAGAACACCAATTCCTACCTTTCTTCTCAGCGTGATAACACTCAATAAGTGTGTTTTCTCAACAGAAAATTTCCGAAAAATATTCGTATATCATAATATTATCAGTGAAAGCGAAAACGCAACAGATACAGTGACAAAATAATCATCAAATGATTGTATATTACACCACTTTGGTGTTGAATAACATGGATGGATCAGATTAGCAGTAGGTACTCAAGTGTAGTTCTTGATTGTCTGTAAGAACGATCGACACCCTATGATGGTG